CGGAAACCCGTGGGGCTCCCCGCGCCGCCGGTGCCCGCCGACTCCGGCAGCTCGCAGTCAAGGTGAGAACGGGGGCGGGCGCGGGGGCCGCTGCCCCGGGGAGCGGGTTCACAGCCCCGTGATTGCCGCACCGCCGCCCCCTCCAAACAAACAGAGCTTATGGCGAGCTGGGGGCGCGAGATGGATGGTAAACAAATGCGCCTTTGAAGAGTGACAATGAAATAAATCACCCGTTGACTTCGTTGGCACACTTGATAATGCCGTTATCATAAAGGAGGGACTGCGGGGAACGGCTGCCATCGTGCCGCAGCGGGGGCTGGGGGATGCCGGGGTGGGGGCTGCCAGAGCGGGGGGCTGCACGCAGGACCGTCCCCTTCTGCAGGGCACAGGGTTGTCCTCTGCCCGCCTGGGTGAGCAGAATTTCATCAGGTGTCGTAGCCTAACGCTGATGGTGATGACACCAAACTGAGCAGTGCGGTCGACACGTCTGAGGGACGGGATGCCATCCAGAGGGACCTGGACAGGCTGGAGAAGCGGGTCTGTGTGAACCTCATGAGGTTCAAGAAGGCCAAGGGCAGGGTCTGCACCTGGGTTGGGGCAACCCCCGGTATCCATACAGGCTGGGGATGGAGGGATGGAGGGATGGAGGGATGGAGGGGAGCCCCTCTGCTGGGAGGACAGGCTGGGAGAGTTGGGGGGTTCAGGGGAGACCTTATTGCGGCCTTTCCGTACTTAAAGGGGGCTTATAAGAAACATGGGGACAAACTTTTTAGCAGGGTCTGTTGCAATAGGACGAGGGGTGATGGCTTTAAACTAAAAGAGGGCAGATTTGGATGAGATACAAGGAAGAATTTTTTTACTCTGAGGGTGGTGAGCCCCTGGCCCGGGTTGCCCAGAGAGGTGGTGGCTGCCCCATCCCTGGAAACATTCCAGGCCAGGCTGGACGGGGCTCTGAGCAACCTGGGCTGGTTGGAGATGTCCCTGCTCACGGCAGGGGGTTGGACTGGATGGCCTTTAAAGGCCCCTTCCGACCCAAACTATTCTGTGATTCTATGATTCTGTGATTCTATGTTTGCCTTCAGTGGCCATCGGTGTGCGGCATCTGTTCAGCTCCGCCAAATACATCTGTGGCTTCACCAACCTGGAGCGCCTGATGCAGAGTCCCCCATGGTCAGTTTTCCCTGGAATTCGACGGATTTGGGATGTCACAGCCTCATCCAGGGGCTTATCCCGGAGTGGGAGGGATTTTTCCCCTCCTTGGTTTGTCTCTCTTCACTGAGCCGCGTGGTCCTTCTCCAGCCTGGAAGCATGTGGGTCCATGCCCCGAACGTGCTTCAGCCCCATTGGGTTTAGGCTCATATTTGCTTTAAACTGGTTGAATTTGCTCCTGCAAATTCACCGGCTCAGGCTGAGCTGATATAAGCTGGGTGTCAGTGTGTCTCTGAAAGTGGGCACAACCCTTTGTTTTCACTAAATCTGCGTAAAATCGTGCTTTTACATGATGCGGCTCTGTGTAAATCCTGCTCCTGACTCACTCAATGCAAATCTGAAGTAATCCTCGTTTTAGCTGAATTACGTGTATGTGGCCACCTCTTCTCCCGCCGGACTCAAGCACGGCTGTGCTGCCCGTGCCCTCCCCGTGCTCCGCGTAAGGAACGGCCGACTCTTCCCCGGACGTGGATGGGGACGGGAGGATGGAGAAGGAGAGGAGGAGGAGGATGAGGAGGAGGCTCCTTCCTCCACTGAGACTCTCAGCACTCATCGTGGTGTCCGGACTTCACCGTGGCTTAACCGGGACTTCTCAGCCCCCCGGGATTAAAGTTAGGCGGGTGCTTAAAAGCTTAAGCCACAGAAGTTGGATGGTTTTCTACCGACTTGGGGAAGAACAGGATCTGGCCCCCGGTCCCTGTGGGTTTAGGGCCAGAGGGCTCCGCGGTCCTGCCCGTAACAAAGGAGAAGGGAGAGAAAAGCAAAGGAAGGGAGAAAAAATACGGGAAAAAAATGAGGATTGGTGAAATGAAGTTGTGCTCGTTCAGCTCCCTCAGATGCCCGGGTCTCCATCATTAATATTAAGCAATCCCTGACAATACCACTCTGCATTTTCCGAAAGAATAACTATCAGCCTGGTAAACAAACCTGGGAATGTACGAAATTCAGCAGAATGTCTCATCTATAGAGGCTTTATGATAAATGTAACAAGGCAACAGCTATGCAAAAAAAAAAAAAAAGTAAAAAAAAAATTAAAATGTAGAAAATTGACATTTGGAATTGAGCTGGGATGTGCGCTGGAAACGGCGCCGTCTTATCGACAAGGGGGGGGACCTGCAGCCCTTTCTTAAACCCCAATGATACAGGCTAATTTATATGCAGTTATTCACGTGTGCAGTAAATTCCAATTATGTTTACAGATGTCTGCTTAACATTTATGGAAAAGGAACCTCAGCATGTCTGAAATATCCTTATAAGGGTTTGGACTGGGCTATCTTTTTTTTTTCTTTTTTTTTTTTTTTTACCAACACCAATTTAATTATATTTTGCAGCTTTACAAAAAAAAAAAAAAATCCAGCTGAGCTCTCTGATAGAAGGTTTAACATCTAATGCATATATTTCGGCTGTGTGACCATTTCAGAGATGTTTTAACTATATTTTTTTGTTTTCATATAAAACTCAGGAGTTTAGTTGATTTTTTTAGGCAAAAAAAAAAAAAGCAACAACAAATAAGTGCAGTAAAAGACACAGAGCTTTTCGAATGGCTTCCTACTGTAGGTTATTTTTATTCTTTGTCTTGGGAATTCTTTATTTTATAAACGTTTCATCGCTCACGTGCTGTGTGTGCCGCAGTCAGACCGGGCGTGCGACAGTCCTGCCCGTCACACGGTGGCATTTTGCCCTCCGCCGTGCGAAGAAGCCTCAAATCCATCCTCGGTTTTCCCTGCAAAAGGTGTTTCTCGCCCTTCTCCTCGCTGGACCTGCACGTTTTTCCTTCTCCTCCCTGTTTGCGTGTTCAGCTGCAGTTTTACATCACGTCGTGTGCTGTCGCTGCCGATGACCGTAGTGTCAGTGGGGCTGAATCATGGGTTCTCGCAGCCCCGGTGCGCGGGGCATCCCTGGGCAGGGACCCCGCAGCCGGGACGGGTCCCGCCGCCGGCCGGCCACGCACCTGAACGATGGGTTTTCTGGCTGTGGGTAGTCATAAGAAAAATGTGTGTTTTCAAGACGCATGGGGCAAGAAGCAGAAATTTTCATTCTCCCGCCATGGGTCTGGGCTCTAAAGGCGGCTGCGGCCCCGGGAGGTGACAGCCCCGTGGGGGGACCTGCCCGGCCCAACCTCGCCCCCTTCCCTGGCACAAGCTGGACCATGGCGGGGGGGATTTAGCCCGAGGAAAAGGGTGGGTTCTGCTAATTCTCAAACTGCTGCTTCCAAACATTTTTCCCCCTCTTTCTCTCTAAATTTGAAACACTCGTAGTTTATTACAGCGCGTTGTGGGAGCAGCGTCACGGTGAGCAGCAGCCGGGCTCCGCAGACGTGTCCGTCTGGGGACACTGTGTGTCCGGCCGGCACCAAGCACCGCCACAACCCCAGCGTGTCCAAGACGGGGGTGTCCACACAAACCCGAAGGGTCAGGATGCTTTATTGGTGCCTACCTCCATCGCTTTTCCTCTGGCGAGCGGCGGCGATACACACTCGCCTCCCGGGGCTCTGCAGCATCCCGGCAGTTACCCCACCCTGGTGTCCCCGATGGCATCAGGTCCCTGAACACGACTGTCCCTGTCCGTGTCCGGTGACTTGTTTTAAGCATTGCCACCCCACCCGCTGGCACAGCCGCTCGTGGTGGTGGTGGTGGTGGTGCATACACTGGAGGTACAGAAAAGCTTTTCCGTGGTCATTTTTAAAGCTAAACAAGTCAGTATCTTACGTATGAAAGTACTTGAATTCAAAGAGGGGAATGAGAACACATCAGTGTTTGGAAATGGCATTTCCCCCGGTGTGAAGCACCAGCCCTGTAGAATATTAATCTGGGGGTTTAAAAGCTACGGTGGGAAATGGTCTTTCCGGAGCACGCACAGCCCTAAACCATTGCTCAAACACTGGAGCGATGCTGCCGCACCAGAGCACTCTGCCCCGTGTCTTTGCTCGTCCAGGCTGCGGACGGAGGTGGGAAGGGAACCTTTCTGCGTGCCTCCTTGTGCGGGGGACGTCGTCTCCTGCAGGTACGCAGGAAAGATTTGTTTCGATTTAACACCTTACTGATTCGGGGTAAAGACATCCGAGGGAACGGCGGTGAGCAGAGACGATGCGCAGCACAGGGCAGGCACCCGCAGAGCTCCCTCGGCCGCAGTCCGGCTCCGCTCTCCCGCTGCGTTTCCCTTTGCGCACGGACACTGCGGCCATGGAGCTGATGCTGAAGCTGCGGGCTCACCCCTCCGAGGGCAAGGAAACACTTTCCTTCACGAGCTTTGGGGCAACTTCTCCGGTTTTACGAGAGAAATGCTATCAGCCTAAAATTTGGTGTGGGTTTAGGTGGGTTTGAGAATCTGCTGTTGGTCCAGGAGTCGGAGCTCCGTCCAGGGACTCCCTGCAAAGCTCAGGTTGGAACAAGGACAAACGCCCAAGCTCCTTCGCAGAGGTGAAGTGACCTCTTGGGTCCTGTCAGGCCAGGACAAGGGCGACAGGTTTTAATATCTACGGTGCTGGGTGGGAAGGAGCGCTCGTCCTTGTCATCGGCAGCCCAGCACGGCAAGCGGTGACGGGAAATTTCCAAGAGGGGGAGAAGAGGAAGGCCACGCTGCGGTTAAAGTAACTTATTTGGTCTGAGAACACACGTGGAATAAACGTGCCAGATCTTAAAAATGAGTTTTGTTTATTAGCACACCCTTAAGGAAATAAATCGTACATCATTAGGAGTGATGTCTTCTCACCAGCCGTCTTCACTATTATTAACACATTTATCTACTAGCCATGCGAATTTCTTTCCGCCATTTATTCTGGAATCTTATAGGCTGTACAAATATGAACTAATTACAGCAATGAAGATTTTATTTCAGCAACTGAAAAAACACAACGGTGGGGAATTCTGCAGACTCAGAGTTTCTGAGGCTGAACGTCCCGGGAAGTTTCCGTGTTCATACGCACGTGACATCGCCGCGCTGCCGGCACGAGGCAGATCAGCCCCCAGAGCTCCTCCAGGCAGTTGCTACCAGTGAAAACAGTGTGATTTCAAGGGCGGGAGAAAAAAAACACTTTGTCAAACTGTTCACTAGGGTTTGGGGCTGCTCCCGAAGGAAGCGTAGATAAATAAGGGACTCTCCATTTGAAACGAGGTTTACTCGTTTGTAGGCAAAACGAGCTCCCGCATCTTCACGGCTGCGCTGGTTCGGGGTCGGATGCGTCGGCCTCTGCTCTCCGGAGGCACCTTCACCTGCGGATACAGAGACAGGAGAGGAGCACCCAGGGACCTGCCTGATACGGAGTTCTCGGTGGCCGGTAGCTCATGAGGGACAAAGCCAATACCAAGTTATGAGAGGCCGTCAGCGAGGAGAGGCGCGGGGTGGCGTGTGCCCAGCCGGCTCATTAGCTATTCCGCTTCTGTAGCACCGTGCGTGCGCGTTTCTGGGAGCAGCTGACGTGAGAAGCTGTAACGGGCGATGTTAACAACCTGCTGCCGGGAGTTCAACAAATAACCGCGCGCTGGAAGGACCGAACAGCAAAACCCACCAGTTCAGCCCGTGGCATAACAAAGCCAGGGGTGAGCAGCCTTTCTCCCACTGTTCAGCCACTTTGGAGTGATGATACCCTCGTGAGGCTGCGTTGCCAGCGCGGGCGATGCCCTGCGGAGCGGGATGGCCCCTCCGGTGCTGCCCGACGCCGCAGCCTCGTCCGGCCCTCTGCGGCAGCCCTGGGGAAGGCAATGCAGATGGGGTCTGGAGTGGGTTTTTCTTCCCTGTCCACCAGGCAACGCGGTAAGGGAGAGAGCTGAGGGGTGGTGGAGTCTGAAGGGTGCAGCGCATCCGCGCGGGAGTTGGGAGGTTCAGGTTGTGCCCATCTCTGGGTGACCCCCGAGGAGCTGCTCCCCACCCCACTGCCTCACCAACACTGTGGTTCTGGCGGGGATCTCCAGGCCCGGCTGGAATACGAGTGACAACGATGTTGAGGAATGATTATTTTAGAA